ATAATTCATCATATTTTAATTAAGAAGTTAATAAAAATACTTGACAATTTACTATAAAAAAACCCGACAAAAACACACCAATAATTCTTTTTTATTTTAAGGTCATCAATTTTTAAATATTTTGTAACCTTGACATTTTTATCTTTGATGTTAATAACATTTGAAATAGAATGTGATAGAATATTTATTTAGCTGTTTTATTGGGAAATTTATACAAATTTTACTATAATTCCTATTTTAGGCGGTATATAGTAATGTTCCTGATAAACTTCTAAAAATCAGGAAAAGTTCTTTATTTACAGATTATTTCCTGTTTATATAACACTCAATTGTTGATTTTTTTATTTGAAATGTAAATAAAATATAGTTAAATTTAATTTATATCGATAAGAGAATGAATAATTAATTAAATTAATTAAATATAAATTATATAATAATATCTTTCAAATTTACTAACTTTGTATGAATTATTACAAATAGTTTTGTTTTAGTTTTAATTGAATATTTAATACCCAACCAATAGAAAAACAACAAAGTCATGAAAAAAAAGCAGTGTTCAATTACAAACAAAATTGAGTTCATTTCACAGTGGTGTGTGAATCGACACCGATGGTGTGTGGATCAGTGAATGTTCCTCTTGATTTAAAGAAGCCAAAAATCATTTGCAAGACCAAATAGAACCAGTAAGTGTGAAGGATAAGCAACACACATAACAATCCAGTGAGTAATGAGTATACCGTCCAAGCCCCAGCAGTATGGTCTGGCACACAGAATCTCCCTTGGAATGCCGCTGGAATAATAAATCCACCGAGGGTAACCAATCTGAATCTCAAGAAAGTATACACAATCCCTACAAACGCGAACATAGCTGGTTTGTCATTTGGCATGTCGTGGAGTGACTTAGCGGTGTACATCGCGAAGTCTCCAACGTCGTGTAAAATCAAGACCAAAGTGCCTATTCTCACGTAATTGTTAATGAAACTAAAGATGACTAAGAATATAGTGGAGACGTGATGGAGTAAATTCTCGAAGTAGTCATTACGTCGTTCGCTTTGGATGTGATACACCAACGAATGGAAATGATACCCCAACTCCCAACAATAATAAAAAGTGATAAGAGGTGGTTGTTCTTGGTCGGGGTAGTTTTCCCAAATCAGTGACAAGTCTTGTTTTCCTTTTCCAAATAAATAAGAAGGCATCCAGTCCTCATTTCTAAATAAGACGACGCCTAACATAGTCGATATAAAGAAGTATATCATTTTGAAAGACACAATCCCAAAGCGCTGTACTCTAAAATCTTGAACTTCTTTGGACCATGTTGGATTCTATCAGTTAATGTTTCTCATCAGTGTATATATATATAAATGTACAAGTATTCTAAACACAAACCATCACTATGAATTTTCTTCCAAACTTAGGAAATAAGTCTTCGATCAATAATTTTCGAGACGTATAAATCAAAGAAAAAGGAATTATAGCCCACAAGAGGTTAAGTGGTGATGGGTAATAATCGGAAGTTCTTGAGAATGATGTTGGGATACAGATAAGTGCGATTGGCATCATTATTAGTATCTGCGTGATATTAAATTTGTCCTGCGGAGTCAAACTGGTAAAAACTCCAGTTAGCTTGCTGAGCATGTCAATTAAAACTGGAAATAGTGTTGAGGGTTCTTAAGCCAGAAGAAGGTCTTAGAAAAGTTGGAGGATTTTTATACTTTTTCCTTCGCTAACTTTGTTTTTCAATTTGAAAAAAATGTCCACCGTTGATTGTTCCTAACTATTTGAATGAACTGCCCGAAGTGGTAAGAAAAACTTTCCTGTTAATATTGTAATTATTTTTTTTCCAAATAAATAATTTACATGAAAAACAAGTCGATTGGATTCTTCTTTTGTCAAATAAAGTCACTCGTGTGTTTTTCACATCGAAATTCATCGGATGTTTATTTTTAGAATATTCAGATTGACTTAATGTCCCGCTATTCTCTACTTTTTTGAGGGAATTTGTCGGAGTATAGGTCTTATTATCGTTGTGCCATTTTAGTATTATTCGTTATATAGTAATATAATAGTAAATTATAGTATCATTAATTTTAGTATTTACAAATGTAATTATTGTAATGTTTTGCCATTAAAAAGTTCTTATTGTTCAGATTAGTAAATGTATTTTATAGTTTAATTAATTTGGTATGTTTAGTTCGGGAAGAAATAAAAACTTGAAATAATTAATCAAAGTATTGCTGTATTTAACCAAAAAAAAACAAATAGAAAAAAATATAAAAAATATATAATTGGGCGAGAGACCAAATCATCCTTTTTACTCAAAAAAACAAAACGTCAGAGGGAAAGTGCAAACGTGGCAACCGTTTTTGATAAAAAGTTGATAGTGTTAATATACTTTATTTTTTGAGGTTTTTAATTGGTACACAAAACAAAAAATTGCTGAAAAAAATTTTGAAAGCGAAATGAACAATTTTGTATAATAAAAGTTATTATAAAAATGAAATAAGTCAAAACAAGAAATTGAAATAATAAAATAAACAAATAGTGTGTTTTTTTAGTTCATAAGAAGTTATAAACATACAGTTAGTTCGGATTCAAATGAAACAAGTCTCATAATAAATTGAATTTGTCTCAAAACAAATTAAAATTGCACCTATATTCAATTTTGTTTCAAAACAATAAAAATTTGTCTCATTACTTTGTAATTTGTCCCAATAAAAAACAAAAGTGTTTCAAAATGATATAATGTTTCAAAATAATATTAAAATGTCCTAAAAGTAAAAAAATTTGTCTCATAAATGTGTAATTTTGTTCGATAAAGATTGTAACACTCTTTAAAAAACAATAAAAATATACACACATACTCTCTTTTGATAAAACTTTAATGTTTAATTTATATTTACAACTAAAAAATACTTAAAGAACACCTCGAGCGAGTAATTTTAACGCGACTAGTCTAATGAAATAATCAACACATTTTTCAAATTATTATCATCTACTTGAAACTTCCGGTTATATTCAATAGCATATTGAATATTGTTATTTTACTCTTGTTTATATTACTTAGTATTATCTCAATAAAATTTATGTTTTTAAATATTTAGTGATACATCGTTAATATACTTTTTATATAAAGTTTTTAATAAAGACGGAAAAATGATTGTGTGCCGCTTACACATCAAGTTTTCAGGTTTTGATGTTTCTATTGGAGTTTGTGTTGTTGGTAGTAAAGTTGTTGTTATTTGCATGTGTTGCTTTCAAAAGCATTTTATGATGGTAACTCACCAAGTTGTATTTAATCTAATTGATAATTTAAAAAACAAAAAATTGTTCGAACTTCACGAACAAATTTTACAATTTCTTAAAGTAACATATTTTTTAAGTTGTTCATTATTTAAAAGCAAGTTTTGATTTTTTAAAGTGTTATTAATTATTTAATTTCAAAATCCTTTTATCAAAAGAGAGTATGTGTGTATATTTTTATTATTTTTTAAAGAGTGTTACAATCTTTATCGAACAAAATTACACATTTATGAGACAAATTTTTTTACTTTTAGGACATTTTAATATTATTTTGAAACATTATATCATTTTGAAACACTTTTGTTTTTTATTGGGACAAATTACAAAGTAATGAGACAAATTTTTATTGTTTTGAAACAAAATTGAATATAGGTGCAATTTTAATTTGTTTTGAGACAAATTCAATTTATTATGAGACTTGTTTCATTTGAATCCGAACTAACTGTAATTGATAATAATTCAACAAGAAAAAACTCATCAAATTTGAGTTTTTAAAGAATTCAATTTATCCCTTTTTCACCAAATCAGATGATATTATTGTATAATTTGTATTACTAAATGTTCCCAGTTTTTTAGAATAATAAAATGTCATAAAACACTCTTTAATATGTGGAATTGCGTGTGAACAAAATAAATAAATTGTAAATACTCATTTATATTTATAATTTATCATTTATTATAAATAAAATTATTTTTAACTAGTATTTTGATAACTAATAGATTAATATAATTTCATCATATTATTATAAATAATATTTTTTTTATCAATCTAATTAAATTGAAGATAACAATAAAAGTGTCTGTTTATTCTTACAAATTGTAACATCCTATTAATAATTTCATTATACAGTAAAACCTCCCAAGAGCGGGAGGGCGTGGGAATTTTGTTCTCTCAAGAGCGGGCATTTTTAGCCAATCAAACCTTAATTACCACCCAATAGAGAACTCTATTTTTGGTTCTATTTTTAATCATGCCCGATCTCGGGAGAACCCGTTCTTTAGAGGTACCGCTCTTGGGAGGTTTTACTGTAATATGTATTGTGTTAGAATAAATTAGTTTTTGTTTATTTGTTGCTATTTTTAATTTAGGTTCGACAAAAATGAGGAAATTATAAAACAATAATAACAAATAATAAATTCAACTAGAATTTGTAATTATTAAGTTTTTTTTTATTAAAAAAAATTAGAATTCAAAAAAACAAAAACTTGCTACAATTACATAAACAAATAATTAAGGCAATTAACACTTTAAATAACATTGAACAAAATTCAAGTTGTCTAAAAATCAGGAAATTTCGAGTTTATTAAATAAATTTCCGTTTTTTAGAGTGTGTATTAATGGCTTAAACAATACACAAGTCAAAAAAGGAAAATCATCAAAAATTAGATTAATATCCCTGTAAAAACAGGCCAAAACAAAAATAAGGGCGTTATTTTTAGTGTTAAAGGATTTAAACATTATTGAAATTGGATGTTTTTTGAATTGGGTATAAACACAACTACAGCAGTTGGTATTGACATAATACCAACTGTTATAGTTGGTATTATCTCAAATAAACATAATTTCGATTTTTCTGTTACTATTTGGCAAAACAACAAACTTTAAATAATGACTGTAAATGCTTAAATACAATATTTGATAGTGATAAGAATAAATGTATTATATTTTATTAAATATTATATAAAACTATATAAAATACTGATTTATTGACTATATTATAGTTTTTCTGATTATATTCCAATATTATGAATAATACTATATTTTATTATAAACTGTAGTATAATACTTTTCATAGTTTTATGAGAAACATAAACAATGAGTATTATTATTATTAAATGCTTAACAACAACATTTTAAAATTCCAATTTTATTCAATTTAAATAACAAAAGCGAAATAATAAGTTCTTTGAACTTAAAAAATAACAAAAACTTTTCATGTCGACTTTGCGTGCGCAAAATCAAAAAATGTTTGACGAGAAAGAGGGGTACAGCAGCAGACTTCGTTTGCTCAATCAGTTCACGCAACAAGACTCCGATTATTCCGAAACGGAGAAACTCTTTGTGAAAACAAATGAACTTCAATACAACAAACTTCTCATTCAAATTTCTGAGAAGATGGCCAAGAGCAAAAAAACACTCGACACTGAGCAATCCACATTCCTTAGATGTCTTTCCTTATCACTTAAAGTCTTCGACAAAATGGCTTTCCGCCAGATCACAAGTCAAAAGTTCTTTGATGTCTGGAAATCTCTTTTGGTACCAACCACCCCGACTAAAGTGAAAACAGTTGCCTTCGAAGCCCTTGTCGATGGACTTACTGTGTGTGCAATCAAACCAAACGACTGGACTGAAATCTTTTTCAAGTGTTTGGATTTGAGTGTTTTCAAACGCCCGGAGGATAAAAGCGTTCTTGATGAAACGGGAGAAACGCGATTTCAAATTATGACGCATTACTTGTCGTATTTCATGGAACACGTGTTTCTCACAGAAGACTCTTTCATTTCGCTGTTTTCATTTTTCAAAAACATTCTTGAGGATCTTTACTTGAAGAAAGGTGAAGACGATGAAGTCAATAATGAGGCCCACACCAAAATTGTCACCGCACTCACTAAACTCAAATTTTCACATGTCGTGTATTTAAGTCGATATCAAAACACAATGGACGTTCTCGAGAAGGTCCTTGAAGTGATTTGTAGCAAGATGTTGGCTGGCGGTGACAATACAAGTTCTTATCAAATCAATATGGACGCTTATGTTGTCATCATCGAACATTACATTACTGGTGACTACACCAATGACTTGCAGTCGAGACTTGAAAAGAAGTCTGACGCTTCAAACTCGAATATGGTGATGATTTCTCCCGAGCGATTTAAAGAATTCCAAAAGACGGTGTTAAAACAAATAGAAGCCATGTTACTTCCTTTAAGCAAAGAGAACAAGAAGATCGACGACTCGTTCTATTCGTTTCTCACTGTTGTGAGAAGGATATTCACTGACTTCATCAAGCACTCAAGTTTCATCAGTTCCGAACTCAAAATTTTGTTGTGTCAGATATCGCGCGCACTCATCTGGAGAGTCAGTAATTTGATGCTTTCAAATTCGTCAGCACAAGCAGTTACTGGAGACATGAACGTCAAATTGTCTGATTTGGCAGTGAATATATTACCGTTGTGGGTGACCTTTATGAAGGATCAAAAAGAGTGGGATTTACTCTTCCAAAAGTTAAATATCTTCTATAACATCGACTTATACGTGAAGGAGATATGCGAGATATTTATTAGCATAACACAGTTGTATGTTATCAAACAGTTGTACGTCGAAGAATTTCCAAGTGTGGAGGATCAAAAGAAGATCCGACTGCCTTTTAGCATCAAAATAGCAAACACAAACAAATTGAATCAATTCAAGGTGGATACGATGGAGACAGACCGGTTATTCTTCTTTTGGCACAAAATGTTTTTGCTCATATGTGACGCGTCGTGTATAGCAACAGGAGAAAATTTGGAGAAGTGGGTCGACACCATGAAAGTGGTTGAAGAGACGTTTATTGTAGCAGATCAATTGATGAAACACAAAGAGAATATGGAGAAGTACGCCATATCAGTTCACGAGCAATTCTTCCCATTTTTTGTGTCGGTATTTAGTGGACAAACAAACCCTAAAGTTGTATTGAGCTCTATAACTGCTTTGATAGAATTGACTGTGCTGCCTGTTGAATATAACGTTTGTGTGTACGACACATTCTGTGGCTTCATTTTAGCTGCGTTTGAGTTCTCACAAGACATTGCAAACGAGATCATACCAAAATTGGGGAACATCTTTGTATATCGCCTCCCCGTGGAATGTTTGATCAAACCCATCATGAACTGCATAAAAATGTATCAATTTGATAAAGTGACTCCAGACGATGAATTCAATATATTACGACTCTTAGAATCGATTTCTCTCTATGATAAAAGGAATGATAGAGAGGGCAACGACACCTTTTTGAACTTACGATTGACCACCGAGTGCTACACTAATTTGGTTCGAGGCTTCAAGCAAAATGCAACAAAGGAATCTGTCTTGTGGGCGATTGGGACGACAGTAGTACTTAACACCATGAAAGTTAAAGATGGGAAGGACTTTATACCATTAATAGATATCATGTTGTCTTCACTCATTGAACTCCCATTCTTGAGTGAAGTTGGTCTTAAAGTGTTGGTGTTTGTTGTCCGAGAGATCGGCACACAGAACAAACAAATAGTCGAATATATCATTGAGTTCTTGACAAACCAAGTTCTGGTGAATAATTTGGTCGACAAGAGATTCTTCTTATTTACTCTCATCGAAATATTCCAAGCCAACGTGTACTTGTCGCTTGACTTCTATGAGTCGACAACGGCAATTTTGACGAAACTGATTAACACCGATTTGAAAGAAAATAATGACGTTTTGGAGGTTCTTGCATCACTACTTTTTCGATCTATGATGCATCAACGACTCAGCGAAAATATTAACAGCCCAACTAGCGACACGACTTGGTGGATGATTGAAAATTCGGTGATTTCAGTGACACCACAACAAGGCGGAGATGTCTCTGAAGTTGAGGTTCGAGACCCCACAGGCTCGTGGAGATGTGTTGTGAAAGTCCCAGAAACGAAAGAGAAAATTTCCACGGTAGAAGTCCCCAAATTAGAATTTAGTGGGAACGTCGAGTTTCAGAAGAAGGTGAGAAAAATCCACAACGCCCTTTCTGTCAAACTTGCGAGTGAAGAGAGCCAGTTCAAGAACTTGCGGTGGGTCAAAGAAGAGAGTGTGAGTCGACAACAAATCAAGGAGAAGACAAAGGAGAGTCAAATGAATGTGGCCTTAGAAGCACAAGTCCAGAGGTGTATGGTGGACATGGAGTTAAAGCCACGCATCGAAGAGTTTAAAACACCGGAACAGAAAGTCGCTTTAAAGAAAGAATGGGGATACATACTCTCATTGATGATGCAATACCCTACTAAGGTACGACCCGTTATAAGGAGAATAGACAGTACACAAGTCGACGATATCATTCGACAAATTGACACAAATGGGATGACACAGAAGTTACCAGTGAACGTCGAAGGCGATGAAACAGACGAAAGCTTCAAGGCGTTTTTGAACGTCTTGTTCGAGAAAAACATTCGGTGCCAAGTTGGTGTCACCAAAGAGATATGTCTTGACAAGACACACACATCCACTTTCACAATTGTCTGGGAAACTAATGATCGACTGAATTTTCTCAATACGAAAAATGGGGTTGTTATTGGTATTCGCCCGAGAGGCGATTCGGTGATGGTTTTCATTAACGCTGACCACGAAATGACAATCGGCCCACTTTATGATCGAATGGTAGTTGGTGTTGAATATATCATTCCTTTACTTAAGGAAACTATTCTCGCCTATTGTTACCAACTTGATCAAAGCATGTTTGTTTTTTAATTTAAAGTACTATTTTAATAATACAAAAACTATATAGAATAGCACAAAGTATTTTAATTCAAATACTTATAAAATATATTAAATATAATATATTATATAATTTAATAAAGAATATTAATAAGATAGCCTTGTAACACGTCTTGAGCTTATTAGGAAATTAAAAGCTGCATGTAAAATGGATGAAAGTCTCGGATCGTTCTATCAGGATGTTTCTTCTGCGTTTATTGTTCCGAATTAATTGAATTCATATCACATATTAAGACCGTTCATAGTAGAAGAGAAATAAAGTGTGTAGTCCGAAATATTGTTTTTATCTTTTTAAAGGAAAGTAAAAAAGTGGTTATCACGACACAAACTTCGGTTGAACTTGAACTCGTTTCTTAGAAATGTCTACAGCCTCGCCATTAGAACCAAACACCTTTGATTGGATAGAGGCGAACACCCCACAGACTTCGACAAATGATTTTAAGACTGCACTCCTCCCAGAAAATGAAGTCAAAAATAGATACTCTAATGTATTACCAAATGAAACAACACGTGTTCTAGTTCGGAAGACAGATTACATCAACGCAAATCATGTGTTTGGCAATCGATATATATCGTGTCAAGCTCCTTTATCCAATACAACAGAAGACTTCTACACAATGGCGTGGGAACAAGAGTCTGGTGTAGTAGTGATGTTAACCAAATTTGAAGAGAAGGAGAAGTCGAAGGCGTCTTCATACTTCCCCGACACACCGGGACAAATGAAACGGTTTGGTAACTTCACGGTCACGTGTGGAGCCGTTTTGTTTGGTGATCCACAAACAATAGGGCGCATGGAGATGCAAGCCAGAGAATTGATAATGGAAAACAAAACACTTGGGAAAGGGAAAAGGACTTTAATACATATCCATTACACAGGATGGCCAGACTTTGGGGTCCCACCAAACAGTTTAATCTTCCGTGATATGATTTATATTGTTTTATCATGTTGTGGGCGATATAAAGGAAAGGCGTTAACTGGACCTCCAATCATTCATTGCTCTGCTGGTCTTGGGCGGAGTGGGACATTTCTTGGTACATTAAGGTTTTACCAGCAGTATTTCAACAGTCTTTTGAAGAAGCCTGTGCCGTTTGTGTTCAACCAAAAGACGACAAAGGCCGGTGAACTAGAAAATCGGATCAATGCTATAGATAAGCCGGTCAGTGGAATTGAGTTGCGAGAATTACTTGCGAATGTGGTATTTTCGATGAGGAGTGAAAGAAAAGGGATGGTCCAAACTGCCGAGCAATACGAGTTTTTGGTGGCGAATGTTGGAGAATTCTTTCAAACGGTCTGGGGGAAAATGAATGGGAAGAAAAGTGAGTTGATCGAAGTCGTTAAGCCACTGATGTCAGACACTACACAAGAAGCAATCGACCCTTTCATCAAGAAAATCAAGAAGAAGAAGTGATTATTTTTCTTTTGTTATCGCCGCAACACGTAAGGATATAACGAGTGTCTTGAAAGTTAAATTACAAAGGGATTTGAGAGACCACAGACTATATAAGCCTCATCACCTAATAAATTCAACCAATTCCATTTCAACTTGAAATCACTGTGAAAGAGTCTGACTTCATATTGTCTGTGTTTGATATAAGCTTTTCTGTCAATTGTAATGTATCGGTCTAACACCCCTTCACCAACACTTTCAAAGGCTTGCATCCCTATGAGATACTTCTCTTTCGACTCGTTTTCTGTTGTTTGAAAGATGCCATACACCAACCCATCTGGTGCGGGCTGTGAAAAATGGAGTAATAAGTCCGGCTTTTGGTAACACACTTCGATGGGGTAAGTCGTGCCTATGACATATCCAACTATCGGTTTGAAGTCATTATCTTCTTTGTAATCCTCGTCAAGAATGTGGAAGTCATACAGACCGCTGGGTAGTAATTTGTTGAGAGAGTCACAAGTGTCAATTGTTGAGAAGTAAAAGATAGCGGAGTACTGCGCATAGTGACGCTTCGTCGCACAACACACCAATTTATAATTTGTGTCGACAGCAACTTCTGGTTTGACTTTAACAACAACACGAAAGGCGGTGTTTTCTGGTACAGTACGAATGTCGAGTATTGAATCGATGCTCATTTCACTCTGGCTTTCGAGTTGTTGATGTATTGAAATAGTTTTGTTATAAGTATTATACTATAAATTGTAGTTTTATTGTTCAATGATTTTTTCATCAATCTTTTGTAATGATATTTGACGACTTCTCTTTAATAGTAGTAATAATTAATAATATTAGTACAAAGGCATATAGTAAAATTAACTAGAGAAAACTAATAAAATCAATCCATTACAAATACATTCCATCGCTTAAGAACTCGTGCCTTGCTTTTTCGGAGACGTCTCTGATTATCGAGAGTGGTGTGACTTGTTGTTCTAATGGCTCGAGTTGCTCGACTTGTCCTATTGTTGTAAAATCGTGAGGTTCCGTTTCGACCTCGGGAGTATTTTCAAACTTTTTGAGCTGTCCAATTAAATCAGCCAACGACATGTGGATTTTTTTAGTTTTATGTGGGGTTTATATAGTGACCTGGTTGTAGTAAAAGTATAGTAAAATTATAGTATCCAATTTGTTATAAAAAATGTGATGAACACACCACCAGAAGGAACTTGGAAAAGAACTTTGAATACAACACAATGGATGGGGAATATATGGACATCGATATGAATGTGGACGACACTATGTCATTTCAGACGACAACAAGTACAACGAGTTTAGGGTTGCCAGTTTTAGCTGAAAGTGTATTAGGGAGTATCTCTGCGATTACAGGGATCGTAGTTTTGAATTTAGAAAAGACTAATAACTACTGTAAGGCTTGTGCGTTCCAATCAATCTTCCTCTTTTTGGTCTTTTTCATCTCATCACTCCCTTTCTTGATCCTTTGTCTCGCTGTCGGTGGCTTTTTCCAAACCATCTATGTCACAGTACTTATCATTTACATCGTCGTTAAAACTTTCTTCATTACTACCACTGTACTTAGAGCTAAATCTCAAAGCTTTATGGGTATCCCTGGTCTCGCTACTTGGATCCTGAACACCGCAGCTAAGCTCTGATTATTGTGTTTCCATAAGCTACTTCTTCATCATTTTTAGTATATTTAATAATTAATGTGTTATAATACTATAGTTTCTGTCAATTTGTGGTATTCAAAATGTTATGTGATCGTATAGTAAATAGTATAGTAAAAAATAGTAATATACATATGAAAGCAAAAGAAAAAAGTTTTCATGAACAACGGAAAAATCCTTTGAAAAACGAACAAATACAGAAGCTATAACTCTAATATACAAAACTATAGTACAGAGATAGAAAAAGTGAAGAATATCCACAAATCCCGAATATTTTGGTAAAAAGAACCATTTAATTTAGTTGAAAAAGCATAACTTAGTCCATGTACAAAATCAAGTCACCCTTCTACTAAACATGTAGTATAACAATAGTAAAATTATAGGAAAATATAGGAAAAAGCAACAAGAATAGAAGGTGAAGAACGATAAAGTGTTTATAAGAAGAAAAGAGCTTGAACTTGAAAAACAGTATGGCTCGCCCAACTTTGTTTAAGACGATATTGATAGGGGACTCGGGTTTGTATTGTACCAGAAACGTTCGATGAAGTTGACTTGTAGGTGTTGGTAAAACCAGTTTGATCAACCGTTATGTGAACAACCAATTTTCCGATGTGTACAAAGCGACGATTGGAAGTGACTTTTTGATCAAACCCGTCACGGTCAATGGGCAGACGTACACTCTTCAAATAGTTTGTTTAATTGTTGTGTGGAGAGAGAGGACGAACTCATTGATAGTGGGACACTGCAGGACATGAACGGTACAGTTGTGTTGTGACAACGTTTTATAGAGGGAGCGACTGTTGTGTATTATGTTTTGATGTCACGAATCGGGAGTCATTCAACCATCTCGAGAAGTGGAAGAACGACTTCATTGAAGGTGCAAATCTGACAAACCCAGGAAGTGTTCCCATTTTTGTTGTTGGCAATAAAATCGACTGTGATCCAAACACTCGTGAAGTTTCGGAAGAACAAGCCATGGAATGGTGTAAGCTACACAACCATCAATATTTCGAAACGTCGGCACTCAACGCTTCAAACGTCGGCGATTTCTTTAACGCTCTTGCAACTGAAGTCGTCGGCAGAAGAGAAGAGGACCAAGAGCCTGAAAAACCTCAACCAATCGAAATTAATAAAAAACAGGCGAATGGGGGGTGCTGTTAATCAGTGCATAGACTTAATTTATGTTGAATTTTGATGCGGTTGTTGTCTGTTTGTTTGTCCTTTTGTGTACTAGTTAAAAAGTATAGTTTTTTTTAATAAATGTGTTGATGTATAGCAAAAATAGGGTTGCCTTTTTATTGACTTGAAAAATTCTTCAAAATATGGAAAAATAGCATTGATTAGGGTTGTTTTCCCGATGAATTTGGCGATTTGGTAGTGATGTTTTCAAACAAATTTGATTTGAAAAAAGTTTACTAAATGAATTTGAAATTGGAGGAGGGCTTTTAGTGAATTTAAAGTGAAAAAAAAAACGAATGAGAAATAATAATAAAAAGTATTAGAAAAGAACTATAAAATATGGTTTGTACGAAACAACTCGAAAATGTTTCGGCGAAGGAGCCCCATTCACAAATAAAAGTGAAAACGAAGAACTCGGAAAAGTAGATGAATTTCAACAGTGATATCAACGAGAATTACTTTACCACTATGGAAGGGTATGACAGCTATACCTCTTATATTCACATTCCCGTCTCGACTGAGGTCAACGAAAATAATATCAAATTGTTGGGTAATATATTCACTAAACCAACATTCATCCCGCCAGAAGTCACTTCCCCTAACATCCCACTTTGCAAAAAAGAAGAAGGGACTATGGTCATGGACATCGAAGAGGGGTGTAATGTGGTTAAACAAAGTCCCGTCATAGTCATGGATGGCGTTGAAATTGTTATGGACGAGAGTAATAGGGACAGAATCGATAAGATCCAGAAGAACGTCCCTTGGAATTGCACATTAAAAAGAAGCGAAGAACTCAGCTTTGAGTTTAGCACCATAATTCCACAAACAGATGTTCATAAAGAGTGTCGCAAACTCGCAGAAGACCTTTTAACAACTAGTCAGATATATAGCGACTTGGCAAGAGAAAAACGCTTCACCCAAGAAAAGAAGAACTTTGTGTTTTCTACTTTTCATAAATTGGGGTTTGAAGACCTCATTGTTTCGGTGCACCGAACAAAGAGAGTAGTTACAGCGGTCGAACCATTGGATTAGTAATTATGATTTAAATTAATTCTGTTGTTTAGTTGTTGTTCTTTTTGGTGTTTCTTTATCATTATTCTTCTCTGTAACTTTAGTAAAAATGAAGGTACACATAGATGTGTCTCTATTTATATAGTAAAACCACAATCTTAAATCCTTTTTTACAATTCCAATGAGAAAAGAAACGTTCTAGTTTATTAATAGATTCATAATAATAAACTCGTACACAAGTATCCTAACACCGATAAAATTTAAATGAATTATTTGTGAAGGAGTCGAGCACCAGCAATGCCCGGAGTAGTCATCTCGTCGGGACACAAGATGATGTCAAGTTGTTCCTTTGTGAGAACGCCCTTTTCAAGAATGATTTCTCTGACTGGTCTGCCAGACTTGATGGCTTCTTTAGCAGTAGCTGAGGCGACTTCATACCCGACGTGTGGGTTCAAAGCGGTGATAATTCCGACTGAATTATCAACGAACCATTGCATTCTTTCTTTGTTTGCTTTAAGGTCCAAGACCAAATTGACTTTGAACGTGTTGAATGCGTTCTTCAAAATTTCGAGAGAAGTCAAGATGTCGTAGAACATGACAGGCTCCATCACGTTCAACTCAAATTGACCCGCAGCTGCTGCCCACATGACAGTAGTGTTATTACCAATGATTTGGAAACAAGTCTGATTCATCACTTCAGCAATGACAGGGTTGACTTTACCTGGCATAATTGAGCTTCCCGGTTGTCTTGGTGGCAATTGGATTTCGCCAAGTCCACATCTTGGGCCTGAAGTCATGAGTCTCATATCATTCGCAACTTTACTCATGCAGCACGCGATGATAGCAAGAGCAGCATGGACTTCCAAATACTCATCAGAATTTTGTGTTCCGTCGACCAAATCCTCGACGTTATGGACTTTTGTTTTCGACAATTCAGCCAATTTCTTGACAACTTCAGTGATGAAGACTGGCTCAGCGTTCAGACCCGTTCCGACTGCTGTTGCGCCCATATTAATACCTTCAAGGCATGACTTCGATCTTTCAAGTCTTTCCCACCCTCTTTTAATAATGCAGTTGTATGCTCTCAGCTCTTGTGCATAAGTGATTGGGACGGCGTCTTGTAAATGAGTTCTTCCCATCTTCAAGAAGTCTTTGAATTCGACGGCTTTCTTCTCGATTTCGTCGTAGACTGTTTTCATTTCGGCAACAAGTCTGTCGATCTTCCAGAGTCCAGCAATGTGGAAAGCAGTTGGGAAAGCGTCGTTAGTAGACTGTGACATATTAACGTGAGTATTTGCAGAGATGATGTCTGGTCGATATTTTTCGTGGCCAAGGATTTCTAAGGCGCGATTTGCAATGACTTCGTTGCAATTCATATTGAATGAAGTCCCAGCGCCGCCTTGAATTGGATCGACTACAACCCACTCATCAAATTTACCTTCAGCTAATTCATGAGAAGCTTGCATAATGGCATCACACTTGGTCTTGTCTAAAATACCATCTGCATGGTTGGCATATGCGGTAGCTTCTTTGACATACCCCATGGCATGAATGAAGTCTGGGTCACATCTTTTATGTGTGATTGGGAAGTTGTTTATGGCTCGAACCGTCTGAGCGCCGTAATAAGCATTCTTTGGGACTTGCATTTCTCCAAGAGAGTCTTTCTCGAGTCTGTATTCGGTCATTGTTTGGTACTATAATATTGTCGACAGGCCTTTTTATAAGTTGGAAAATACTTCGACAACAGAACGAAGAGCAAAAAAAGAACTCGTCGAAGCCTTTCGGCAGATCGAACCCAATTCTTTTTATGTTTTCGCAATCTGTTAATTTCATCTTTGTGACTGTTTATTACACCTTATGAGGGCTTGATTTGTTCCGTAATTCCGGGTTTCCCTCAAATCACTTTTTTTCTACTAAAATCTTGGTGAGTTTTGAAGAAGAAAAAGACTGGTAAACAATTGTAAACAAATGTATTTGACTGGAAGATTAACTATAATATAACTAAATTATCGGGAAAAAGTCCTAATTTGGTTGGATTTAGGGTAAAGATTTAACAAAAATAATTTCATTGCAAAGTGTTGTATTAAAAAATATAGTAACTATAACTACTAAATTTAGTAAAAAAAAAGTTTGTTTCATTTTAAATTATAACATAAAACTAAAATAAACTATATACATTTAATAATTTTTTTTGTTCGAAAATTTATAAATTCATTTCATTTTAAAGTAAAAATTCAGGTTTATTCTCAAAACAAAATTTTAGTCATTTGTATGTTATAATAAATATAAATATAATTAAAATTAAACCTATACCTTAATGATTTTATATTTTATATAATTTTATAATAAACTTAACTTGTCAAAACTTGCAGAACGAAACACATGTATTAGTGTAAGGTGTCTCAATCTTCAACATTTATTATCCCAACCAATTGATGTGCCTTTTCAATTCTTTTACTTCAAAGGTTATTACAATCAACGTTCTTCACTCGATATTTCTTATATTAAATGCTATTTCTTTTCTCCATCAATTAATACACCTTTTTATTGCTCATTCTAAATTTTAAAGTCAACGTATTACAATTCCATTATTTCAATCTGGAGATTGAGATGAAAGAAAGGAACGAACGAGCATTTAAAGTAAAAAGAAAGACAACACAAACCGCATGGTTACTAAAAATTCAATTGACAAATTTTCTCGATTTGAATGTAAACCAAAGAAATATCAATCACAAAACCAAATCATCTCGAATTTGACCTTTCTCCAACCTCTCGAGAGCTTGACCTTCCCACCCTTCTTCCTCGTCGGTCAAACGACTCGTCTCTGATGGACAATTCGTTAGGGTTTCTCAGCGACTGCCGTAGGGGTGGGCGCTGCTCCGTTCTTTCTGCGATGTATGTCCCGTCGGCGTTTAACATGATTCCTGGTGGTATTCTGTCCTTGTCAATAGTGCAAATCCCTTCGTCATCTTCAAACTTGAAATTTTTCATCCAATATTCCGTTCCCCATACGACCTTTGGGACTGAGTGAGAGCGGATGTCCGCTATTCTTTTTTGGAGTTGTGTTTTGAGTCTTTCTGCGTCGCTCCGTGTGGGAGTCGCGATGAACGCAAAGTGTCGCTCCGGCTTCATCGAGACACGAAGAACCCTGTGTAACTTCGTTTGCGATTTCTTTGATACGGTACTCGTTCCAGTCCATGGGAAGTTGCGTAAGAAGGATAACGTTTGTTTTGATACGAACGAAATTGTCGCTTTCAACGAACTCCCCGTTCTTCAACGTGTCGAGACAGATGTTGACGATATCCATTCCAAACGTGTTGTGCCTATTCCAATGATCGAGAAGTGTGCAGACCTTAATGCGAGTTTGCGAGGGCGTGTTGCAGATTCTCCGCACAATGTCTGGGAGTTTTATCGCAATAGCTTTTTCGACAGTGGTTGCGGTGTCATCCGCAAGGTATCTGATGAGCGAGTCAATCACATACAAAGCCGACAAGAGAAAACAGGGAGGTGCGGAGTCAATGAATTGCTCGATTCGGATGATGAGAATGTTGATGCAGTTGGGGTACCTGTAGACTAAGTCGATCAAACCCTCGAGAGGCTTGCACCCGACGACTTCCGGCCCGTGCGAGATGTCCAGCAAAATGTTGACTAATTTCATGTCGAATTGTTTTTGATCGCTGTTGTTCAAGGTTGACATGTTCTTTCTAAGTTCTTTTTCCCTTTGATTTTTATTCACTAGACAGTTAACTATTGTTTCTAGTTCAGTTCCTATTTTATTTACTACCCAATTCATATCTTTTTGAAAAACATTTTTCTCCTTTTGTTTTTGGTGAGGGTATTTCGACGCATTATTTTTCTAAAAAATTGACGTTTTTTATATGCGTTTTTTCGGGTATTTTAATAGATTATAATTTATAATTGTTTTGATATTATTTTTTTTAATATCTTTTTTATTGTTTTATTATTGTCCCAAAACCACATTTTGAAATAATTAATCACTATTTATATTATATTTAAACTATATATTTTAATTATAAGTGTTAACTGTGCGTTTTTGAAAATCATCAAGAAAACTTTAAAAAAAGTTAAAAAACTTGTGTAAACTATAACATGATGATTAAATATTATTAAATAATAATGTTGATCTAGAATAAGTCAACCAAAAATTTTGTGTTGAAAAAGATTTGACCAAATGATCAAACCGTTCAATCAATTCACTTAACCACTCAATTCATTTCTCCCGCCAACAAACAAATGTGCAAAAACTCCGTCAGGCTTTCGGGGATCCCTTCGAGGTTTTGTGCAGCACCGATTTTTTTCAAAAGTTCGTGATTTTTGAGATGGATCTCAATATTGTTTTCCAAAACTCCAACCACGTTTTTGTACCCTTCGAAATTTTTCTCGAAAAATTTGACAAGGCAAGATTCGATTTGGTCGGAAAGTGATTGCCTCTCAAAAATCACTTTTTTGATGCAACCTGCCACTAACTCACCTTTTTCCAAGTATTTCAGTACTGTAGTTATTATAGCCAAATCCGCCACATTTTCCTCGTTCAGCCCTATTAAAATCCCGTCGTCGACACTTTGAGAGTTCTGCGTGTCGTCATTTTCCACAGCCTTGTTCGTCAATAACAATTTTGCTCGCATCTCGTTAAACCACCCGTCGTCAATATCCGTCACGAGCAAGCCATGTCGAGTAAAACCAATAAATGTTCTTTATCGACTTTGGGTTCGTTCTTTTGTTTGATCAAGTTGATTCCGCCCCGCAACTTCGAAACCACAAAGGTCGAATTCTCCAGGTTGTTCCTACAAAGATGTTTCAATAGTCGTGTTATATCGGACGTTTTTATATTGGACGTTTTGCCAGTAAAGTCAAGGCTCAAACTCGTTATGATTGTAGTTTTCGTCGCATATTTCAGCCCACGTTCCGCCTCAACAATTGTGAGAAGTAATCTGATGAGTGACGAAAATGTATAATCTCCTGAAATCGTCTGGTAAATCGTTTTGTCGTCTTTTCCTTGGAGATAAAAAGCCAATTTCTCAAATAGTCCTTTCGTTTGAACAAGGACCGTTCTGACATTTTCGTGATTGCACAATGAGGTGAGAAGCAAGAAGTAGTCGTCAACGCACGACCCGTCAGCACGTGTCACCAAAATCTGTTCCAACAAATTTTCGGAAAAAGTGAGAATACTATTTTCCGAGCTATAATTTACAAGATAGTTTACTATTTCGCTAAATCGTCGTCGGATGTTTTTGCTTCTTGTTGATACGAAAAATTTTGCATCAAGATCTTTCGTTACGTCACTAAAGTCATTCGTGTATGTCTGACTTTCTTTTATTTTGATAATGAGAGGATCTACTAAATAAAGAAGATTCTCGCGACCTAATCTGATTCTGTCGAGCACGAAACGAATGACAAATTGCGATAATTTCCCACCAAAGACTATTTTGAATAAATCAATGTCATTGCCACACACACTTTTCGCCAACCTCTCTCTCTCCTCGTCAATCTCCTTTGTGATTGAGATTTTGATGTCTTTGTTAATTGCGGTGGCGGAATAAACCAAAATATATGCAGAAGATTTACCAGGACCACCGACACTCCGCTCCATGACGTTGTCTTGTGTTATTGGGAGGACGTTATAATCATTGCACTCTATCCACCCAGAAGGCGTGTTTGTAAAACAAATGTAATGCCCGGCGTTTACACTGCCAAAATGTGTGACTATTGTGTGCAGATGGTAAGTCTTGGTGTCGTTGCAATGATCCAAGGTAATAGTCTCAGGGATGGAGCACTCCGAGTCGTTCTTTTGTGCCGTCAAATCCGTTGAAATGAAAAACCTATTAATTTGGAACAATAGGTAGTTTGGTGTGTTCTTAAACGAAACATGTTTTGTTGCTTCAACCAATTCTCCGCTTTCAAGACGAATCTTATTTTCGCCAGTGAAAGTCTCGTCCTTAAAGTAAGCAGCAAGAGAACATTGGAGGCTCTTCTCAACAGGGAGGAATAGCATACGAGTGTCAGTTATGCGAGATGAGATGAGGGTCTGTGCTTCATCTGTCCGTTTAATTGACTCGTCCATAACGCATTTAAAATCGTCAAACACAGCTTTGGTGTTTACAGCTTCTTCAATACAATCAAGGAGTAACATCAGAAAGTCGCCTGCGTCGTGTTGAGTCTTTTTGAGGTCATCACGGTGTTTATAATTTTGGATCGACTCAATCAACATAATTGGCGACAAGGAAGCAGATTGTCCAGACTTCATTTGCAAGAAAAGGGTTTGCAATTGACGAAGAACAGTCACTGCTGGGTCCACATTTTCGAGTTCGCTTGTCTTTTCTTTGCACTTGTTGTTGTAGGTTGCCGCATTGTTGTTTGAAACTTTATTTTTCTTTTGATCTTTTTTCTCTTTATTAAAAGAGGTGGTTCTAACTTTGTCCAAACTGTCACAAGAATAAGCAAGTATCTCTTCTCTGAAAGTGGTCATATTGTACAACAACTGGATGACAACATTGATGTAACACGTTGAACCCAGGTTGTGCAACCCAACTATTCCTTTCTCTTGTAATGGGCTTTTCGGCACATAATCGACGGGTGTGATATCTTGTGACATTTGATCCTCGAAAACAGGCAGTATCTCTTTCCAGACGTTCTCGTCCTTTTTTATCATATTCATAAAGCAAGCCAGTGCGTGTCTGGATGGATAACTGATGAAATCGACTTGTTTACAACATTTCATAGCCATCACTTTGCACAAGTTAATCACATCCTTCTGATCGATCACGTTTGTTTTGTAAAAAAGTTCCAACAATTTCAGACAATATGGCACACCATATGACTTCTTGTTCTTTTCTTCTCGAACTGTTGTAAGCAGAGACTTGACATGGTCTTTCACTTTTTCTTGGAATGGGTGACTCTCTGGAATTGAAAGTATCGATTTTATAATCTCGATCAACAGAATGTATTTCTCGCTGCCAATGATCTCATTCTCTTCTTTGGTCAACTCTTCAAGAAGCTCTTCCATGTGGTTTGATATGTTCGAGAAGTTCTTAGACACAAACAAATTATTCACGAAGATCCGAATCACATTTGAGAGCAACAAAACAACATTGTTTTCGTCTTTACTCAATTCGAAAATGGTGTTGAGAATCGTGTAAATCCTGTCAAAAACTGACCCGTCAACGATGTATTGCCCATCTTCACAAAACTCGGCCAGAGAAAGCACCAGATCAAATGATTCCAATTGTGTGTTGTTGCTCTGTAACAGATTCAGACTTTTGCTTATCAACTCGTTTTGTTGTTGAAAGACGACCATCTCAGCTTTTTTATATTTCAGAAATATTCGAAGTGACAAATCAGCGACGTGTGAGCTTTGTGTTTCCTCGAATACATTATAAACCCAATTTATTGTATTCGCTGTGAGATTTTGTGTAGAGAGAAGCTCTTCTAAAATGAAAACAAGTTCGCTTCCCTTTGTTACTGTTTCAACTCCACTTTGTATTAACTCAATTTTATTCAAAATGAACTTCACTTTGGGGATGTTGTCTAACAATTCTAGACAACTTTTTGCCAGTTTGTCATCAGAAGAGTCGATGAATGAAAAGAGTTTGTTGACATTCTCATTGAAACTTTTAGAGTTGAGTAAGTCGGTTGTTTTCGACTTTTTACCTTTGATTAATTCGTCGATGTTTTTGTAGGTCATCAACAAATCGTGGTTTGTCCCAAGTGCCGCTTGTAGTTCGTTTTTAGTGTTGCCAAGTAAATACTTTGATGCACTCTCGACATCTCCAAAACTTTGTAATGTGGAAAGTGCCTTTTCTCGAGACACCAAACACTTGTCAACAACTGCTTTGATGTCGTCTTCTTTTACTTGGCACAAAAATTTGAATTGTGGTAAAAGAGTTTTTGTTTCGTCTTTAACACCCTTTTCTTCTTCAACAAAAAACTGTTCCACGCAGAGTTCTTCTGTTACGGGAGTTTTCATTTGCCCAATTTGGATGTTTTGGTACCCCGGGGTTTCTTGAATTGAAGACGTTAAAATCACGCCACTCGATATACAGCGCATTCTCTCAAGTATTTCACTCACAAGAGTCTCTGGTGTGACCGTGACGTTCTCAATTTGATTCTCCAACGTACGAATTTGATATTTTACTTTTCTAATATGACAACTCTTGTGTTTACTTCCACCTTCACAATATAATACCTTTTGAAGAAGAAGAATTCTTTTCTCGTTCTTCTCTTCAAACAATTTCAAGAAAAGTGTATCAGTCGATTCAATGACATCCGCAGCACAATAAACGTTTTCGGTGAATGTCTGAATGTTCCTTTTTGCTGCAGTGTGTGTCATCATTTCACACAACTTTTCGACTCTGAAAAACCACTCCATCGTTTTAATACCAGTAAACAATTTATACCCCTTTTTCTCCTTCTCAAGGGAGTATATTTTCTCAATCAAATGAATCAACAAATCGGCTCCGACAACCGAGTCAAAGTATTTCACGTTAATCACATCAAGTCTTTCGGTCAAGACAACAACAAGAAATTCAGAAAGTGTTTGGTCTTGGCCACAGATGAGTGTGTCAAAGACTCTTATAATATTTTCGATGTAATTCTGCTCTTTACATATTGTGATGATATCCCACAATTCGTTAATTGCTTCAAAGCATGAGTCAACATTCATTTCAATATACTTTTTGATTAACAACAACGCATTTTGTATGATACACTCTCGATACTCTTCAACAGGAAATGTCGCCTGTTTCTTTATCACAACGAATATGGATTCTTCGAGTTCAGTAACTTCCTCACAATTTGTTTCTTTAATAATTCCAGTTGTGACTATTTGAAGTAGAAACGCACCAACAGCATCAGCAACACCTTCCTTCAAGTCTTCCATTTTAATCACAAAACGGGCGTACAACATCGCAAAGAGCAATTCGCACTTTTTAACAGTAAAGTCTTTGAGACCACCATAGTACTCTGTGATGAATTGATCATTCAAAAAGTCGTTCACTTTCTCCGCGTTGTAATTTTCAGATTTAATTAACAGCTTGAGATCCGTTGGGGATGTTGGTTCGATTGTGGCCAACATGCTTTTGAGTTTCTCATTCGAGGCCACTTCCTTCTCAATAAAATTCCCAACAGTGATTTTTAACACCGGATTTTTGAGATAGTCAAATAACAGTTGAATGACATTCTCTTGGTTGTCTGGCAACATCTGTACAATCATGTCTTTGATTTCATTAAACTCTGATACCGTCTTTGGGTGTAATATGGGCTCGAGTAATTCAAAGTCGAAGTATCCTATCGACTTGAATAACGATATTTGGTCAGTTCTTCCATACATCCCAACAAAGTTGTGTACATTTGTGATGAAACACCTTTTAACTTCTGGTATTGAGCGCACTGAATCTAACAGAATAGTTTTCGCTGCTGAGGTAACACTGTTACTGAATTTGATAGACATCATCACTAATATTTCATAAAGAAAAAATACGTCTGTTATAGGGTCCTCATGGATAAATGCGACGAGTGCTGGAAAGGTTTCGTTGATATAGGCTTGTGCAAATTTGGAGTTGAGTGTTGAGACATCAAATGTTGAAAAATAGTCTTTGAGTTCTTTGATGGCGTTTTGGTGAATGAGCGAATTGCATGCAATTCGAGGCATTAAAGACAACACACGGTCTAAGGCCTCTTGTGAGATGTCTGGTTTTGACATCAACTGTTTATTTAAGTCTAAGTTCCGTTATACCATGAAGTATAGTTTTTTTAATAAAATATACTATTATTTGTATATAGTTAAAATGAAGGAAAATGTGTTAAAAGATAATAATATATTGCATCATTCAAACTTCATTACACAAAAAAAGAATTTCACATCATTTTTTTCTTGACAAATTGAATTAAAAAATGTTATAAAAATGTTATAATAGAACTAAAAAGGAAACAAAAGAAGTTAATGTCAACTACAACAACACGAGTCGACGTCGAAAACGACTTGGATACCATTTCAAAGGAATTTATACCAAAGTACTTTAACGTGTGTATGTGTTGTCGAGCTCCTTTAGACAACCCGAGAAAGTATTGTCTCTTCTGTTTAGCAAAAAGAGTTGAAGAACGAGGACAAATCGTTCAAAAAAGGAAGGAAGAGATACGGGCGTTTCAGGCAAAGACTCACGAACTTGAAAAAACACTGAGTGAAGGGCTTTGTAAAATTAATAAGAAAACGGATATCATAACACAGACAAATACATTGTTTGCACATTCACAACAAAATGACTTGGCAATTAATGTCATGAAAATCAAAGAGAACGATGGACTCAGATTTGCAATTGAAAAAATTGATCATATCAGCACGTCAATGAAAAGACTTCAAGACGCTATAAAGAAGACCAACGAGTTGTTTTCTGAATATCAAAAAGTTGGGAGTGAAACAATTAAATTGACACAACTTAAAGCGTTTTTGACAGACCAAATCGTGTTGAAGAAAAAACAGGGCTTAGTCCTCACAAACCAATTTTTGATGTTGGAAGTCGACACAAATAAAACGTCAAGTCAACTCTCCCCATTAACAGAGACGGTAGAACGACCAATTCAGAACGAGTTGAGAACATTTAGATTCATCAACTTCTTTGTTAAGTCGACGTCAAGGTCTTTCAAGTCTTTGGCAATATCCAATTTGTTCATTTCACACTTGTTCATGGTCTACAAGCATTTCTGTGTTGTAATGAATGTTTCTTGCACACTCCAACTCGACTGGAAAGGGACTACTATACCATGTACGTTGCAAAGAAGGTCACCGTCTGCACTCGGCCAGAGAGTCACCCTTCCAGACAGTGGTATTACCTTTTCACATATTGTCTTCAAAATATTGTACGACGAATTCTTGAAACTCTACGTTATTTTATATAAGTCGACAATTGACGTCGATGGAGAAACGTATGTAGAAAAGCTGTTGCAGATTTTACATTACTTTATGTCTTTTTAGAATATGATTCAGTCTGTTTGTATGTTGTTTTGTGTTGGTAATGAATATTATTAGTTGTTGTAGATGAACTACCTATGTATTATAAACAATAGTAAAAAATATAGTAAAATTATAGTAAAAAAATATAGTAAAATCATAATAAAAATAATAGTAGAAATAATAGTAAAAATTACCAGTTTCATTCCTTTTTTGTATAATAATTATTTATGACAAAATATAGCTTCAATGAAACTAAAACATTTGTGGTACAAAATATAATATTTTAATTATAAATAAGTTAAATAAAAAAAACAAAGAAACAAATAATTTACTTGAAAGTATCAAATAAAGAAGAATGGCGACTGATCTTGCAACGATCCATGGTACAGAAAAGGATAAAGTGAATTGCAGCTTTTTCTATAAAGTGGGTGCGTGTCGGCATGGTGATGCATGTAGTCGAAACCATCATCGACCGGAAGTTTCACCGACGATCTTACTAACAAATATGTATGACAATCCTCTTAGTCACAAAGAAGAGGAAAAGATGACTGCGGACGAACTCAAAGTTGTTCGGGACGGGTTCAACGTGTTTTACGAAGACGTTTTCAATGAACTTGCGGAGCGTGGGGAGATCGATGAGATGATCGTTTGTGCCAACTTGAATGAGCACATGTTAGGTAATGTATTTGTCCGATTTCACGACGTCAAGGGCGCTGAGAGTGCCATGAAAATATTATTAGCAAGGTATTATGGTGGGCGGATGATTCAACCCAGTTATTCCCATGTGACTGATTTCAGAGACGCTAAATGTAAACAACAAGAAGCCGGAAATTGCGAGAGAGGGGGCTTCTGTAATTTCATCCACGTACTCGAGCCTAATCACGCCCTTAAAAGAAAACTCCTTGAAAGACAGCCATTAAGAAGACAACGGCTTGGTCTTAAGCCATATTGATTGTGGTTTGGTCTTCAAAATGTTATATATAACATTTTCTAATCTCATTTGTCCGACTATTTTGGGGGAAGTCACCTTGTAATTGGTTTTGATTTTTTGGTGAAAGAAAAGAATAGTATTAGTACTAGTAAAATAATTAATCAAGTCTAATTCCATCATATTAAAAAAACAGAAAACCATAAAAGGTACATTGCTAAAAAACGAAAAGTACAAGAAAAATAGAAGAAGAAAAATCCGTAAATGACACGAAAAACTGAATAGAAATTGGAAGAAACAAAAAGTCAATTGGCACCACTTTTTAAATAATACCAAAGAATTCATAGAAAAAATGTATTAAAAAACTCGAAAAACAAGAGAGGAATGATGAAAGGCGTACACCTCATTCCTGTGGTCAAAATGCCAACCGACCCCAAAAATCTGGTATTGAACGAAGAGGGCGAAAAAGAGTGGAGCGAGGACGAACAACGAGTTTTGGAAGAAAGACTGTTGAACGAAGGGAATAACATCACTACGATACTCCGACTTGTTGGACTGTTATCAGGACGTACTATACAACAAATCACAACACGAGCGAATTGGACACTTCTTGGAGAAAACGAGAAAATCCCCTTTGACGAGTATAAAAAACGACAAGAAAGGACAGAAATTCAAATGGTCCTTCCGATGACAACAAAAGCGAGTGACGCTAAAAAGAAGAAACCAAGACAACGGCACTACTCCGTCATCGAAGGAACACAAACACAAAAATTTCAGAAACAACGGAGGGGTTCAACGTCGAGAGACCCTCCAAAGAACTTAATGAGTTTTAGAACGGGACTCAGCCAAAACTCATCACTCCACCAAGATCAGTCTGGCTCATCATTACATGAGAGTGAGAACATGTCGCCTCGTATTAAAAGTGTTTCGCCAAATATCGGGAATGCAATGGATATGACAAGTGTGAATAGCGAACAGCGTACTGATGGTGTTGATTTGAATACAATAATAGCATCGCTTAGAGAAAACGAACAGTTACTTCAGTTACTTGAAAACTCGTTGAACGGAAATGTCCCTATACAGCCGGACATCTTCCTCGCTTTACAAAACAACTGGAACGTTCAACTCTTGTTCTCTCAAAAACTCGCAGTGCCATCAAATATGTCACTCTTCCAAATGGATCTACTTGTCACACAACAATTGGCTGCAATCGGAATGAAGCCATACATCCAATCACCTTTAAACCTGAACTGGAATTTTAAAATGTAATTTTTATGTTGGGAGTTTTCTATTGGTTTATCTTAGTAAAAGATAATATAACATGTGAAGTAAATTGACTAAGATCTTGATTATGAGGAACGGCACAGAAAATTAAACAAGAACACAAGAAGACTGCTTTGAAGAGGGAATACACTTCGTTTGGAGGAAATCGCCATGCTCTTGGAGGACTATAAAGCCTAATTGGTTTGAGACGACGGTGCAATTGCCGTGTTTGTAATCGTTAAAATTTGAATGTGTGTGACCATATATCCAATACGTTATATTGTATTTATCCATCAACGGAGTCATGTCAACATTAAAACAAGAATCCATGAAATCATTTCCATACACAGTCAAACTTAAAACGGGGCAGTGGTGAGTGACTACTACTTTGTACTCTGAGACTGATTTCTGTAAAGAGTCTTCCAACCATCTGCGACAATACTTGAAGGCATCGCGATACGGTACATTGTCGACTGCGGGGTCGGAAAACCATTTTACGTATTTGAAGTCCGCTAGTTTCTTTTGAATGGCGGACTCATGTCCGACGTCAAGATCAGACCATAGTGTTGTGAAAAAGAAATCAGTTTTGTTGATTGTAATTGTTTGGTTGTTGACTAATGTCACGTTTGGGAACAACTTCTCGTTCAGTGAGTAAGTCTGTTCAACACAACGACTGCCGTAGTACTCGTGATTTCCTGGAACAACAAAAGTCTGTTTGTAGGTTTCACTGCACCACTGAAAAAAAGGAAGTTTGGAATATAGGCTGAAAGGAGCCGTGTCTCCCGCAATTACTAATATGTCGGCAGACTTTTTCAATGGATGCGCTGTTAAGTATTTCAAATTCTCGTGGTTTTCGAGGTGCAAATCGCTCGCAAACTGTATTTTTTCCATCACTTTTGAATTAAATATAGTTTGAATATAATTTATACTATAATGTGATATTGTTTAGTAAATCATAATTAAATTATTATTTTTTTTATTTATTTCTCAAAAATAATTTGAGTTATCAATTCGATTTTTCATGTTTTTAAATGTTGTATTTAAAGACATTTATAAAAATAAATTAAAATAAATTGACAAACAAGTTACAAAACTAAAACAATAGCAAAGAGAAAAGCACCAGCCAACAAAGACGATGCACTATTCTCATATGAGTCTGTCTCGGTATCCTTTGTGTCCAATTCCAATTCGTCGAACATCAAGTCTACAGAAGTTGTTGAGTCGCCAGTTCTTGTAAAGATAATGGTTGAGACCTCACCATCCAAGTTGAATTGGTCGAGTTTGATGTACGCCTTCATGTTCTTGTTTTTCTTGACCTTAATAGTGTAACCCGCGGTGTTGTTGATGGTGGTTTCGTTGAGTGAGTCGTATGAAGTGCTGAATATTTTTACGTTAAGTGGGATGTTCTTCAAATCGTCGTTGTCGTACTTAACGTGGAATCTGAGTGTCTTGTATGTTTTGTCTTTGTCTTGGATTGTTGTCGAAACGCTGTCGTTTGTTGTAAACACTATTTCCTCACCAGGCAACATCGTCACAACTTCCCAATGTGACCTGTCTTTGTCTTGTATTCCAACAGTCAAGTTGTCTGGATTGACAACCTCAAATCCCTCATAAAAATCTCCGTCGTCATACAACTTGATATAATCTGCCGAAGCAATCAGAGTGAATACACACAATAAGAGTGTTTCCATTTTCAATTGAACTTCCCCTCAATTTCCGTCTTTAAATTTGCAAAATGACAACATGACACCTAGATCACGTTGTCAATCTCAGCAATCAATTAACATTATCATATTAGTTTTGTATAAATATGTATACTCAATTAATTATAACCAATTAAACTATATTTATTAAATACAATTATTAAATTAATAGAAATAAAATAAAACGCAATTATTTTTAACAAAGCAGAACCAAAGTGCACACAATTCTCGCGCCAGCCTTCTGTAAAATCAATTGTAAGAAGTCATCAAGTCCATAGTCGAATATTTTTGTGCAGATTTTTTCAATAACTCCGTCCGCCTTTGCGCAAAGTGTTTGGATGTATTCAGAAGCTTTATCATAAGCCCCACCAAGTAAAAGTTCTTCAAGGTGACTTACCACTGATTTGCAAATACCGCAAACAATTGGTATCCCCAAATCCCCATTCTTTTCTGTTGATTTTGTTACTTCCTCAGCATAAGATAATGAAATGACAATGAATAGCAATAAGAAGGCTTTCATCACAACACTTAATAATAATTATCAAATTTCATTAAATATTCAAAAAAAATTTTGATAATTGTGTTATTATTATTTTGAATGTATTTTTTTTTCGATGCAAAAATAAATAAAGTTCAATTTTTGTATATAAATATTGATTTTTAAAAATTTTAAAAACATTGTTTACAATGATTTCATAAATAAATTCATGACTTTTTTGTTTTTTTTTCATGAATTTACATTTTTTGTATTACAAATAACTGTTGCTTTAAAAAAAATAAAATAATTTTGTTAAATTCGGAGAAATCCCAAATTTACAGGGATTGTGCTCCAATGTCTGTGTTAAGTTTTAAAACATTCATATTATCAAAACTGTGTAATTATCAATTAATCGTTCAAAATGTGATTATTATAGTTTTTTTAGTTATTTTATAAAACTATAATTTAAATATTATAATTCAATTATATTAAATTATAATAATAACTTATAATAATAAATTATAATAAATAATTATGAAAATACAAATTAAGATCCTTTGATGTATTACTAAATATTCAGAAAATGGTTCAATAAAGAGTCTCATTCCTCAATAAAAAAATTGAGTTATTGAAAAAAATCAAATTCAACAAATCTCTTCTTTCTTTTCTTCCTGTTTCTTCCACATGACAATTTTCTTATCATAGAAACTACACGTGATTAAATCCTCTCCGAGTCTATCAGCTCCATAAACCATACTGTCATGCGGCTTATACTCTTGGAACGTTTTCTCAAACATTCCATTCTCTTTCATTTTGAACTCAGCAACACCTCCACATGCTCCAGCAACAACAATTCTGTTTTTGTAATCACTCATTCTCCATCCAGCCCCACCATCTACTCTTCCGCTCCATATACTTTGTTTTGTATTTCTCAAGTCAAACTCCGCAACAGTCCCGTCATAACACCCCAACAGAAAATTCCCATTTTCTCTCCACACCAAATCAGTGACTCCAGCGTCTTCTCGAATTTTAAATACAACCTCTTCATCTACCCATCCTTTGCAGTAAGTGTCGTCACTCCCAGACAAGAGTAATTTACCATCAGGCTTCATCGCAACAGTCCATATCTCCGCATCGTGACTTTTGACCTCTTTGACTGGCTTCCACCGACCGTTTCTAAAAAGTCTCCAATATGATATGAACCCATCGTTGCGCGAAGCGACAAGTGTCTCACCACCAACCGAAGTGGATAGGACTTCGCACTCGTCAGGGATGATCGCACAGTTCACTTCTTTAATATCGTCAGTAGGCGTGAAAAAGAGCACCTTCGAGTTAGCAGTACACGCCGTGATGAACTTTGTGTCGGAAACAGTCACAAACCCTAAATTGTGGATAGCGGGTGTGCGACTCGCTTTGATTAATTCTAATCGATTTGTCGCGCGATTGAATTTGTAAGTGTGAAGGTTCCCCGACTTCCGCTCGTTTTGAAGATGGTAAAAGGAAACCGCAATACAGTCAGTTGAGTAGTTGAAAATACCATCCGGCTCCATCTCAGTTTCTAATAATAAAAGGGGAGTGTATGTACTTGTTTCCATTACGTAGAATGTTGTTTCGAGTTATTTTCATAAAGATCGAAATTATACTATAAAATATAATATAATTATAGCTTAATAAAATTTGTGTTTTTGTGGTTATTTTATAAATTTAATTATAATTTGAAATTGGTTTATATAATAATAAATCAATTTTAATTATTATATTAAAATAATTATAATATATTATTTTTATAATAATAAAACAATAAATTGAGAAGTTATAACCAAAATTATTAAAACATAATGAAAAATAATTATCAACAATTAAATAATCTTTTTCCTCTAAACTTAAAAAGTGAATAAAAAAGATTGAAAAAAAGATTATTACTCAACAAAATTTATTGTCAAAAACAATTCTAATAAAAACACGATTAATATTATAAATATAATAATTTTAATACAATAAATATAATAAATAAAACAAAAGAAAAACTAATTTTGTTATAATTCGCAAATTATGATAATCACAAAATGAAAACATTTCAAACCCAAAATTTTGAGAATCTTGGGTATAAAAAACCCTCCAACTTTAAAAAATTTAAATGGAGCCATCACCACAACATCTCGCCGATGTTTTAACACTTTTAAATTCTTCTCTTTCTGGACAAAATGGCGCGCAAACCACTGCGTTTTACGACAAAGTGACAAAATATCCGGACTATATTGTGTGTCTACTTAAAATCGTCTCAACGCCGGAGTACAAAGCACTCCAAAATCTTGCCTGTATTCTTTTAAGACAAGTGTTGATGTACAGTCAACTTGACCCATCACAGGTGGCAGTTATAATCATTCCTTTGCTTAAAGAAAACGCACTTCGATCTGTTGCAAGCAATTTGTTATCGACACTCTTCGTATGTAGCTCAGATGATTTTAAATTCAAGTTTTTACAGACGATCTTGGTAACAATTCAAACATCTAATGACCTTCCATTGATAGAGGGAATGCTATCAACGTTGTCTATGATTATAGAGGACGACAACCGATTCACAAACAGAGAACAATTAAGACCATTATTGGAAACTATGTTTGAGTGCGTGTTCGCATGCACTTCAAATCAGCTCGACGTGGTACGAAAAATATCAATGGAAACTGTCGTGAACTTGTCGTATGCCAGTGGAAATTACCCAAAGCTACTTAAAACTATTATTCCAAGAGCTAAAGACACATTACCAAGTGTCAGAATTTCATTTTGCCAAATCATCGCAAACATCCTTTTGTCATTCCCAGAGGTACTCAAAAATTCTATTAACGATATTTTGAACGCATTGTTCGAACTTGGAAATGACCCAGATGTCAGTGTGAGAACACAAGCACTTGGGTTGTGGGGACCAATGAGTGAGTTGTATCAAAAAGAGATGGCACCAAATATTATGCAAATCCTTCAGTTGCTCATCACAAAATTGCCAATTACAGACGAAGAAGTCGACACAGAATATTCCTCTGATGCGGATGAGGTGTTGTTTGGTAATGAATATAGTGAAAGGAAAGTTGCTGGTATTTCTTTGGATCAAATGGCATCGAATTATGGAAATAAGATGATCACTCTGTTGTTACCATTTATATCACAAAAAGTTTCTTCGCCAAATTGGAAAGAGGCAGAAGCTGTTATGTTTTTGTTTGGGTGTGTTGTTAATAAGGGATGGACGAGTGATGAAGACAAAGTACTGTTGGGACAAGTTAGAACTGTCTTCATGCAAATTTTGTCTCGAATGGACAACACTGTACAACTCCAATTTATCGTGATGTGGTGTGTCCAACGAGTTCAAGAGGAAATTGTTAATTTGTTGAATGAAAAGGACTTTGAAACGTTGTTTAAAATGATCATGCAATTAATGGTGTCGACAAACAACAAAGTACGTTTCCAAGCGTTGTGCACATTAAGCTCGTTCCTCGACTATAACATTCCAATAGTGGTAAACAACGTCAACACCATTTTACCACTAGTGATGGACCAAATTAAACCGCCAGCAGCTGTTGTGTGTAAAGCGATTGACACGATCTCTATCATTGTCGATGTGGCTCCTGTTCGATTTGAAGGTAACAAAACACTTTTAGAGAAGCTCATAGCATTATATATTCAAATTTGTGGAGTCTTTCCGAAATCGCCTGATGTGTTGGATACCGTCATTTATAACATCTCGTATATATTCCCACGATTTGGAGATGTTGGTGTTGAAATGGCGTTTAAATTGGAAGAAATGGCTGTTAACATACTGAAAGTGTGTGGAGGGGACTACCGAATGCAATCGAGCTGTATTTTGTTATTGTCTTCGTGTATAGCTGTCAATCCCACTGTTGCGCAAAAAATATTTGTTGACGTGTTCCAGTTGATAATTAAGGTAATGGCTGTATTTAAAACAGAACTCATGGACGCGGTTTATAGTCTTTTAGCAGATTTCATGACATACTGCACACAACAAATACAACCGCATGCGTCTGAACTTGGGAAAGCAATCACCAGTATTATACAAAGTGTCCCTGTTAACGTGTCAACGAATTTGTATTACTGTTTATCAGTTATGTTACATGCATTTAAGAACGAAATGGTTCCTTACCACCAACAACTGTGCGAGAAATTTGTACTTATCATGAAGGAAGAACTGTCAAATTGTAAAGTGTTTGTTTTATGTATTTATATAAAAGCGTTCAGTACCAATTGAATTAAGTGACTGATATGTAGACAGACCCGAGCTTGTATCTTGTTGTGTTTTTCACTGATGGGAGAAGTTCAACCAAATCTATTAACCCCATTAGTTGGGATCATATGTAAGAATCTAATTGTAACAGTTCCTTCCATCACTGACAAGGAAGCGACCTGTTCGATCTTATTTGTGTTTGGGAAGTTAATATGCGCGAATCCAGTTGCGTGTGAATCTGCTCTTTTGGAAATAGTCACCACGTTTAACCCCAATCAATACATTTTCCAGAACCTAAAAGACCTCTGCGTTGGAGTCAGAAATGTGTTGCGACAAACTTTCAACAGACCTGAGTACCAGAGCTTTTGGGCGTCGTGTAATTGAAAACATTGAGTGTTTTTGGGGTAAAGTTTGACCAACTGGATCAAGTCGAAATAACAACAACTTTTGTTATTAAAAATGTTATTTATAGAATTCTGTTAATGGTTTTTGTACAAAGATAAAGAATGACATTTTCAATAATAACTCGAAAACACATAAAATGGTAAAGGTGACGGAGGTGAACTGGAACAAAGTGTTTTCGAATGAATTTATTATTAGCGTGTCTGTCATTGGAGGGATAGGCGTCGGCATTTTTCTGGCGATTTTCATATTCCAATGTTATCACAGAAACTGTTTCCAGAAGATCAGAGAGATATTCATCCACGGAGACTACTCATCGGAGAAGATTAGGGTGTTGTCGTATAATCTGTGTTTGAGAGCACCACTTATAACTAATAACGGAGACGATTTTAAAGCCACAAGACTCGAACTTTTCATTAAAAACGTGATCGATAATTACGACATCATTCTACTCCAAGACGTTATTGGCGCTTATAATGCAAGAAGAACACATTTGATAGAAGTTTGTTAATAACAGTTTGAATACAATGGAATGACATGAAGTGCTCTGCTGAGGTCGGGCTGTGTTATTCACACGTCAGCCTCACACCTATTTTGCCGTGCTTTTTGTGTGATGGAGGACTTATGATCTTATCACGAATGCCACTTCTTAATAGAGATCAATACGTCTTTAAGAAATCAGTGTTTCCCGATTCACTCTTTTCAAGAGGAATTTTGTACGCAAAGGTCCACCCAAACAACACCACAACAATCCATTTATTTAACACCCATTTGCAACCAATTTCTAAAGACGAAAAAGCAAAAGAAGTCCGACGACATCAACTTGATGAAGTTGTGAAATTCATTCAAAAGAAGACGGCCAAAGACAATTTCCCAATATTGGTGTGTGGCGATTTCAGCGTGAATGCACTGGAGAGTACTCCTGGTGTTGTGGAGAATGTGATTGTGCAAAGCAGTGAAGCAAGTGATGATGAAAAAGAAACGCTGGGGAAAGACATCATCAAATACGTGGAAGAACAAACAGACGAATATATTCAAGTGATCAATTCGTTGTCACTTATTGGCACTGTTAAAGATGTAATGTACTCTGGTTTACAAAGACATCCAGTTACACTCGGGGATACTTACTTTGAAGGAAATACAGAAATGCCACTCGAGACAGTGTTGACTAAACCAGATGACCAATATAGTAAGAGGTGCCAAGACTTCATATTTACTATAACTCGGTCAAAGGAATTGGAAATTGTCGAACCGTATGTCCATACGTACGACGTCGCTGATGAGGAAATCCAGTTTCTTTCGTCACACTACGCTCTCAGTTGTTCTGTAAAATGTTGATTTGTTAATTTTATGGTACTTTTTATTATAAACAAAGTTATCCAAATTTCTTTATTGTAGAGAGTAATGGCTGTTCGGCGACTTTTGATATTACTCATTAGTCGGCGACTTATAAACAAACTACAAAACTATTGATATTAATTCGTATTACTATAATTTTTAAAATATCAAATATGCACAATTCTATCAAAAGTTGTTATAAATATTATAACAACAATTAAAATTTTATAATTTAAAAACACTTTTAAATACAATAATAAACAACAGTTTATTTTAAAATATCATTAAAATCAAAAAAATTAAATTTTAAAATAAGATCACCACAATAACAAAATTGCCGTTCTTCAAAAATCAATTTCATCGTTAATTTCATTCATTAAACTTTCTGAAAAAATGATTTCTCCCACTTCTCCACATGGAAAAGGTCTCAGTAATGATGTGGCATCATCAACCAACTCATTTGTAGTTGAAGAATGTGGTTCAGTTGGAATAACTATTTGTTGAATTGCTCTTGAAGAATTTCCAACACCCAGAAATTCGTTTATTGAATTGTATTGTCTTAAATTGTTTTCGTTGTGAACTAGTTTTGCTCTATGATACTCTCCACTCAATTTTGACACAATTTCTCCAGCAATTCGTGGGAGTTGAATTGGGGTTGTTCCAATAGGGGTCGAATAATCTCCATCTGCCATTCTTTTGAAGAGATAAAAAGGAAACTTTCTTAATGGCTTTTTTGATATGTGGTAATTACAAAGTGAATGAGCAATATTGACTAGAGACTCATAATCTCTTTTTAATAGCCCGTATTTGTTTCTCATCAACTTAAATAATATTATCAGTCGACCAAAATGATTTTCAACGAGAATTCTGACACTTGAGTGAACTGCATTGTACGCTTTAATAAGTGAATTGTCTACTTTTGTTAATAACATCATTGATTCACATTCAATTGTGCCCCGCTCACATTCAAAATGGTTCGAATCAATAATAAACTCAACATTCGAAACTTCGAGCACGCCCAAGATTTGATATGTTGAGTTTGAAACATCCTCAAAATTTGTTTCAAAAGTTGTAGTGCAACACACCCTACATTTGGCATCTCTTTCTGTCACGTCAACTTGTCTGAACAACGTGTATAGTTCTATTTCCTGCACTGTTTCCGTATCATAGTGAACTATATCGACAACAGAACCACTTACACCTCCTTTAAATACATCGTTTTTTAAAGTTCCTTCGAAGTTTCCTCTAATTCTCAATCTATGTTCAGAACCATTCATCATTAGACTCATATTGATCAAGTAATCTTCTGTTAATACAATCTGTTCGTTTTTTCTAGTTTTGGGATAAGGTATCAAAGTTTGTCCGACTCCTCTGTATCCACTATCTGCAAGTACCCATTCATTTTCCAAAACAAAACTGGGATCCCAATTACACTTGTAGACAGTTAAATCATTTGTTGCGCATTGTTGAGTATTTGACACTTTAACAGCCATTCCATCACAGTTAACATAAACTTCTGTTTTGAGCCCACTACAGTGATGTTTAAATGTAAAATATCTACCATCCTTTACTTTGCGTTCATTTTCTGATGTTTTTAGTTGTGTTGAAATCATTTGGTCTCTTCCATCAACGATGTAAAATGAATGTTCAAGTTGAGGAATAAACCTTAAATAATCTTGACTTCTGCCTGTTGCCAAATTTACACGAAATTTTTGGGGAATACAATTTAAACTTTCAATAAAAATCCTTTTCATTTTTACTGAAAAAAGTAAATATGATCTTTCTAAATTTCTCGAAATAAAACTAATTTTTGAATTTTTACAAATCTGTTTTTCTTCTGAGATGTTGCTTCTTTTTCTATAATCAAATATATCATATAATGTTTTGTAATCAAATGCGTGTTTGAGAAATGTAAGTAGCAATAAAAACAATTCTTTTGAATTCAAAAATTGATTTTCGTTTACTGAAAGTATATTTAAATCAATTCGCTGTTTAACATATTTTCTGTTTACAGCGTCCCATCTTCCATTGTATAGTATTATATCGAAAATATCGTCAAATTCATCATTTGTGAATCCTGTTAAATCAACAATTGTTGATGATGTACGTTTTAAAAACACTTTTATTGGATAATTTAAACGTTTTTCATTGGAAGTGGGTTTTGTTGGGTATGTGGATTCTATTGTTATTTCTGCGTTATAATCAATTTCATTTTCACTTCGACGACGCTGTCTTGTTGGTGTGTCTCCCGTGTGATATTCTTCAAATTCTTCCTCATTGACAATTAATGATCTTTGCAATGCAATTAAAGTGTTGTTACGTGATGGTTGTTTCTGAGTTTCGACCATGGTCAAAAGTGGTTGAGGATGTTCAGTTGCTTGGTATGTTGTTTGTGTAGCTTCATTGTACTGTGAATTGTGTATCGAATTATCAGGGTTAATGTTATGAGTGTTTTGAATATTCTGGTGTTGAAATATTTGTTGTATGTGAAGAGTCTGTGGAATTAAATTGACACTCTGTTGACTTTGTGCAATATGTGTTGATTGGCTGTTATTTTGAGAGTTAGTTAAAGACCGTTGTGTCAACTGATTAACTTCACTTTGTGTTGTTTGTAATATCAGTTGATTTGTAGTAATTTGTTGTATAGATACTTCCTCCATATATTGAGTTGATTTGACGTTTCTTTTTATTTTCTTTTTGTTATTTCTTGTTCCTTTCTTTATCGTTCGTTTGAGTGGTGGGTGATTTGTGTGTATATTAGCTTCTTGATTGACATGAGAAGAAAACGTGTGTAGAAAACGTAGAGGTGTGGTGCTCATGTAATTGTAAGATTATTTTTGAGTTTTATTTTAATCTCAAGTTTGTTTTTTGTGGCAAAATGAATTTTTACTTATTTACTTTTTGCCTTTTGTTTCTTTTTCTCACAAAATCACCATTATTATTCATCAATTTTTATTTTATTTTTTATTTTTTTAATAGTTATTTTAAATAATTATTTAATGATTTTAAAATAGTTTTAATATTGATTAATTTATCTTTTTTATAAGTAAATTTTATTGTATTTAAATTATAAATATAGGTCAGCGACTTTTGATATGACTAAAAAGTCGGCGACTTTTTAGGAAACTCAAAAGTCGCCGAACAGCTATAATATGAAATGAGGATCTTTCATTATTATAGAACAATAAATGATATAAATTAACTATTGTTTTTTTTAATAATTTTTAATATTATGATTTAAATAACAAAATTAATTATTTGATTAATGTAAAGATCACTAAAAACGAAATAGTTAATTTAATTATTATATATATATATAAAAAGTAAGAATTATAATTATTAGCATTATTAAATTAAAATTTAATTATTCCAAAATGATAAAAAATAAAAGAATCACTTTTTATTTTGAAAAACAATTTTTTTCAATACACTTTAACTATATATTAATAATTAAAAAATAATATATTAATTTCAACAAATAATACATTTTTTGTAATTATTTTAAACTATAGATTAGTTAAATAGTAATACTATATTTTATTTTAAATATTAATTTAGCAACTAAATTAACAAGAAATAAAAATAAATTATAAAAATACAATTTGTTCTAATTCAAATGAAAACTGATTATAATTTAACTATACAATAAACCATATCAAAGTGGAACAAAAAATATGTTGACATTATAAATGGATGTAGAAATTATTCAATTTACATATCAAAACAAAAAGTTAAAAAACGAAACTATACTAAGAAAAAGAGAACAATGGAAAAGGTTGAACAAGCGATACTTTCGGTGCGAACGGATTCTACACAAACTCAACAAGATGCTTTGGACTTAATACCAAAAGGAGAAGAAGATGTTCTACCCAATGGCATAACGCGCGATGTCACAAAGGATTTGCTTAATTTAATATCGATGAACCCGATACCCGTTTCACAGGTAGTAGACATCTTCGGTGTATTTAAATTCAAAGTAAAGCAAGGGGATGACTTGTTGAATGAATGCAAAACTTTTCAAAAAAAATTACGACTCACAGAACGTGGCCTTTTAGGGAAGAAGCCCGAAGAAGAGATCAAACTCTTAAGGAAGTACGAGGTCTTTAGAAGTGAAGCTTTGAAACAACCACAAGCAAAGAAAGACCTCGAGAAGTTAGAGTCGTGTTTACAATACCGCAAATCAACACTTGATTTGACTAAGTTGACCGAAAATGAAGTTCGGAGTGCAGTGCGCGCTGCTTATGAATTGTTGCCTCTTGAAAAGAAGCGAATTTTGTTTTTAAAGAGGTGGTTAGTCCAATTACAAGGAGAAGATGACGGCACGTTGTTTACGAAACGATTTCTTAAGGACGTGATAGTCGCGAACAAGTTATTTGAGGAACAGACATTCACTCAACGTTCCTTTAAAATGTCAACGGAAGTGTTAGTTACAGAGGCTCGAACAGAGTTCATCGAAGTGTTTAATCAATTTCACAGAATATGGACAATGAGTGACAAAGTGTTGAGGAACTGTTATGATATGGGTGTTGAAGATGAGAAACCCTATTACGACTTGATATGTGTCATGTCTGAAGAACGACAGCCTACACTCGATTTGATATCAAGAGACTACTTTGGTGAAAAGCCCGAAACGAAGTCCCCACCGACTGGTCTTGAGTTAGTGAAACAGTTGAAGAAAGCGACGAAATCAGCGAAGGAGTATATACCACACTTTTATGTGTTTATTTATGATGAATGGAAACTCCACATGTTAACATTGTTATATTAAAAAGTCTGGCGAAACATTGGCGAAGATCAGGGAGTTGGAGAACTACTTTTCGCAAGTTGTGAAGAACTGGGACGATACTTTTGTGCATAACACAACATTCCCTGAGTTGTTTTCTCCAACAAGTACATTGAACGTGTCGCTCTGTAGCAAACTGTTTTGTAAGAAGGCGCAACTTGGGAAGAAAATATTTGAAATGGAAAGGGAGTGGACGCAAGACGTGAGCGAAGAGCTAGCAAACAAGTATCTTGAACTCACTGAAATGTTTCATACTATAGTCGATAAACACGTGAAGAAGGTCACCAATTTGTTTAAACCAGAAAATACAATGGAACTGAGACTTTATCCACACATCAAATATGTACTTGGCTTGGAATGTGTGAAACTCGACTTGAAATTGATCACAAGGTATAACGCGCAAGGTGATTTGAAATCGGACGATGACTAACTTTAAAGTAAATGTTTTATTGTTACGAATTGAGTTAAAGAGGTGTTGACTTGGGTGTTGAAGACCAGCGAAATAATTTGATAAAGAAATAATTTACTTTGAAGTTTCAGAACAAGAAGAACAGGAGGGCTGAAAGGACAGAAAAGAAGAGAGAAGCACCACAAGTGATGCGAGCTCGGTACGGCTCACCAGTCATGTTTTGATTGCTGGAGGTTTTAAAGACGTTTTTATCTTGGCAAGTGAACTTTTGAGAATAATAGGCTTTGTCGTTGTCGTCTAACTTACACTCTGCATTGTTATACATCCGAAGAGTGAGTTGACTCGACTCTACTTTTGTATCAAGTGATGTTGTGTCGGTGACTTTGCCACATTTGGAGGAGAAAACAAGAGTGACTCCAGAACCGGCTGGTGTTGTAATGGTGGTATAAGTGTCCAAGTCCAATTCTTGAATCGTCCAAGTGTCGGGAGCTTCTAAAGCACCAACAGTCTTTTCACACAACTCATCGGAGTAATAAGTGACTTTAGGGTCTGTGTTTTGGAACTTGACGTAATAATAATTTCCATTGGACATGAACCTGTGATACATTAAACAGTTTTGGAGCGGAGCTGCATAAAAGATGTTATTGTCAGTCGAGTAAGGTGTTGTTGCGTACATGTCTTTTGCAGCATACACGGACAGAACAAGTACCACAAAGAGTAACCCCATCGCGTTTTTTGTTATTTCGAGTTTGGTTTTCCCTTTTTGGTGTGAAGAAGAAGAAGAACTTTTAAGGAACACAAGAGAAGACTCTTTTATTATTATTCAAATGGAAATATACTTTTTTAACTTTATACTATATAATTACTAGTTTTAAGTATTAGATTAATAATAATACTTTTTCTAATAAACTCGTCTTTTGTATATTAAAAAAAAAATTTATAATGAATAAATTATAGTAACTAATTACTACAAAATATAACGGAAAAAAATTCCCACAAACAAATAATTTTGAGCATTATTTATGATAATTAGAATTCAAGAAAAACCGATAAAAATATGTGGTGGAACCAGAAAAAAATAAAAAAAAAAGCTATATAATACTAGTATTGGCGAACCCCGATTGAAGAGGTGAATTTTGACTGAGAGTGATCAGAACGAAAAGGGTTAGGTTAAAAGGAAATACAAAAGTTATCAATCTCACAATGCCAAATGCGTCATAACCAGGCGTTACAGAACAACCACTTCAGAAAAGCACACTGGGAGACTAAGGTGCATACCTGGTTCAAACAGCCATTCCGTGCTGTCCGCCGCCACCAAGTCCGTGTGACCAAGGCCAGACAGAGTTTCCCAAATCCAATTAAGATGTTGCGCCCCGCTGTCCATTGTATGGGCCAAAAATATAACTACAAGTTGAGACTTGGGAAGGGATTCACCCTTGCCGAATTGAGAGCCGCACACATCGACGCGAGATTGGCACCAACCATCGGAATTGCCGTTGACAGAAAGAGAAGAAATCTCTCACAAGAGTCTGTGAACAGAAACAAATCGCGCCTTGAATCATACATGGCCAGACTCACCGTCTTACCAATGCACAAATCAGCTAAGGCTATGAGAGCTCAGAAGGACATTAAAGAGGCTGAGAGCAGAAAGAAGAAGGCTGAAGCCATTAAGAAGTTCCTCGACGACCACAACAAGAAGGTGAGAGACCTCAAGGCTAAGGTTATTACCTTGAAGAAGGAGTATTTGGCTAACAAGACAATCGAGAAGGGAAAGGAATTGAAGGCTTGCTCTAAGGCTTGGATTGCAGCACAAAAGGAATTCAAGAAGAACGTCAAGAAGGACCACAAGAAGTACATGGAACTCGCTAACAGAGTCTTCAGACTCCCAGTCAAGGCTGCCGAGTGCACTAAGAGAGTTATGGACCCCAACACCGTCATTCCACTCGAGAAGAAACAGAAGCTTGAGACCGCGAAACTCACTAAGGGAATGCAACAGAACAACGCCGTCGCTATCTTGAAGAGACAAAAGAACATCGCTAAGGCCGTTTCTGGTATTGCCAAGGGTGCTAAGAAGGCTACTGCAACCAAAAAGAACTAAATCTTAGGTAAGTGTTGTGTTCTTCGTTTTATTATTCACTAATAATTCTTTATTATTAAAAATAGTTTTTCTACCGATTTTGTTCGAAAACTCTGGGAAGAGTATTAAATAATATAATTATAATAAAAATACCATATTTTCTATGAATCATGATGAACTATTATAATACTAATTTAATTAAAGGTGTTTGGTTTCAATGATCCATCAAACTTGATAATATGATATGAGTCAAAAGACGGAAGAAGACATTAAGAGGGAGAGATATCTTGCAGAGAAAAACTCGGAGACTGTTGTGTGCCCATTCAATCCTGCGCACGTTGTGAAGAAGAGGAAATTCAATAAACACAAAGCAGGGTGCCCTGATAACCCAGCGAAAAACCCAACGTTTGGGAAGTCGTATATGAACCCTAATTGTAACATTGATTTAACACTTTTTGAGGCAAAAGTAGAACGAAATATTCGGACAGAAACACTTCTGCCATTTCTTGACAACAGCTTTTTCGACGGGTTCTGCGACGAAAGCAAAAAGTCGCAATTTTACACGTGCAAGTGCTCGACACTGACCCTCAATTTATTCACAGAAAGCGCGCTGAGGGTATTGGTCCAACGGGTGTACACGTTGTATACCAATGTCAAAGAGATGTACAATGACATTTTGGCGCCGATAGACGAGAACGTTGATTTGAATTGTCAAGAGGAGAAAGTGGAGCTTCAAAGGTACGAAGTGTCGATGCCCGACGGGTGGGAATTTCCATCGAAGAAACACACGGAACAGTGTTTGTCGATTGTTTCGCATTTAATTGAAAAGAACATTTTAAAGCCAAATGAAAGTCAAGAAGTGATTGAGAGTGGTGCGGGGAGCGGGATGTTATCTGCGTATTACAGTCTATCCAAACGAAGTGCTCCTTCTAAGTTTTATATGGTGGACTGCATGAAAGGAATGAGAAAGAAATACGACAGATTCATGAGGAGATACGGCGATACCGTCTTTCGCGTTCCCGCTGATTTGCGAAACGTTGATGGGCTTACACTTGTTCAAAGCCACGAACAAGCGTCTTGTCATAGCACTAACATCTGTGTGATCGGAAAACACTTGTGTGGCTCTGCGACAGATATGGCTCTGCAAATGGCTGTGAAATGTAAAGATCGATTGGGAGGCATTGGAATTGCTTTGTGTTGCCATGCCAAAGGGGATGGCCATTACGACTGTATCGCAGACTTCTTTTTAAGTCGCGGAATCAGTGTGATCGAGTTAACTGCAATACACAGACTGACTTCTTGGGCACTAACTGTCGATAACTTAGACACCGAGTGGAAAAAGGAACAAGTTATTGTAGCAGAGATGTGTCGAAATATTATTAATGTTGCTCGAATAGTCTGGTTGAAAAGTCAGAGTAATATCCATCAAGCTGGTCTAGTTAAATATTGTAAGAAAAGTATGAGTCCCGAGAATGTGTTGTTATGGGCGAATTAAGTGTGAAATTACTAGTTAAAGTATTATAGTTATAGAATAATAAATGTTTTTTATAATATTTCTATTCAAATAATATAATAGTATTATCTTATTATAAAAGTAACTAAATAATTCATAAGATTATGAATGACAGAGGAAAACACTTACTTCACACTACTTGCTGATTTTATTAGTTGCGTTTTGAGACAAAGTGGAGTGTATCCACAGTGTTTGTTGTTTGTATTATTACGATATAAGTATTAACTAATAGATTGTTTTAACCGAGTCGTTGTCGATAATCATCCTGTGTATCGGACAACATCTCCTGTTCTTAAAAAGTATATTGAAACACTTGTTGAAACACTTCCACCAACGAAGTCACTCAAAGTAGAAATTGAGACTTTACCATCTTTAGACGTTGTTTTAGAGTGGTTTTTTATAGACACGAACCATGTGCCTAACTATTCTATTCTCGAATCGATACTGAAACAACCATTGTACATCACTGATAAACAGTTGACCTTTCAAGTCAAAGCTTTGTGTTCTCAAAAACCAATCAATTGGGGT